CCGCCATGAGATGACACACACAAACTTAATACAGAACGATGCACTTCACACGAGCTGGCTTGCACTAGGGCTTGGCGGATAATGCCGGCAGAAAAATTGGCAGAATTCGGTACTTTTTCTGGTAAGTTTCATGCATGTTTGGTATGTGGATAAAGAAATGGAGCAGAATTCGAGGAATTGCCCGCCATAAGGTTTGTATGGTTCTGCCAATTTCGGTGCAAAAAAAGCAGAATCTGCCACCTTTTCGAGCATTATCCGCCTAGGCTTAGCTTGCACGCGTGCAACCTTTCACGAACCCTGACAATCTTTTCTGGATTGGTCTTATCTATTGTGCCAGGTCTCCGAAAGTCTGAGGCACCAAAAAATCGATGTTTTGGTGCCTCAACACTCAGCTTGCAAACACACTTTTGTAGCCATTGTGTAGCAGCGTGCAAGTAAATTCTAAATTTGGCGATCATAACATGTCCGAATTTGGACATTCTCCTCCTCATTATCATCATCATCTGCGTTGCCGAAAAAAACTATTATACAAGTAGTAAAATAAAATAATACAAAATAATAAACGGCATTATACAGCTGTGTAAGCGCAATAGATGCACAGTGTGATTGCCAGGCATCTCTGCCAGATGCCAACTGGCAATTCTCATGCAGATACATACCAGTCCACGAAACGATATTGTCAGCAAAGGAAATCTTCGGACGACCACGCTTTCTCTTACCATCCACGACATGTGCACGTCGACACCAAACATCACGTCACGTACAAGCTCTCAGCCAGATGGGCAGCATGTGTGCCCGAAATAGGTCGACCGGTCAGTTTGCGTATCCTGACCCTGGCTAGCAGCTGTCTCTGTACTCCCAACTCCACCAGGATACTGTCATTTGTGCGCTTCTCCATCCAGGATACTCTGAGCAGACGTCGGTAGCACCACATTTCTGCTGCCTGTATTCGTCGTTCATCTGTCTTCCGCAGAGTCCAACTCTCGGCTCCATACAGCAGGACAGACCACACAAGGGCATGCATTTTCCGGATTTTCAGCTGTCTGGAGATATTGTGGTCTTTCCAGATGTCAATTAACTGCAGCATACGCTCTTTCGCCATGGCAATTCTTGACCGAATATCGAGGCTGCAATCACCGTTTGTTGTCTTCCAGGATCCCTGATACTTGAAACTGCTCACCTCTGCAATTCGTTCTCCATCGACCACAAGTGGCGTTGGAGCAGTATCGTTTGTACCAGCAGTACAGGTTCCGATATGCATGATCTTGGTTTTGGACAGATTCAGTGACAGGCCCTTCTCTCTTCCAGCGTCATTACAACACAGTATTGGTGAGGATAGACACTTCTGATGGATGTGCACACAATCCCGTGTCATCTGCGTATCGTAGGTTCGACAGCTGGCGTCCTCCGATTCTCACACCGATACTGACCACATCAGCAACACCAAGAGTCCATAACCCCCCGGGGGGTTATGGACTCTTGGCAACACGCATAACACTCTCAGTGCACAGGCTAAATAGATGCGGGGACAAAATACAGCTCTGCCGAACACCCTTCTTGATAGGGAACTCCGGCGAATGCGCATTCTCCTAGCCGATCGAAAAGCCGATTAGGCGAAAAAATAGGGCCGATTGGGAAATGGCTAACCGGAAGTACATGCATTGCTTGATGATCACAGACTAGTCATGTATACTAATAGTAATACGTGAAACTGTGAGTTGTGACAAAGCTTCCAATCTCTCTTGTGTAACCGGATGTACATGCGACAGTCTTAATAATAATAATAATGGCAGTTCGCATATCACTCATTGCATGAGGTCAACGCATCTGTTAACAATTTCGTCAGTCTTAGCAGACAGATAAAGATAAACGGGAGCGAGCACATTGGTACGAGTAGAAGTAGAACGAAGGCGGAAGCAACTAACTTTACTGATTGCTTTTGCCTTCGTCCTACATGATTACGACGACCAGCGGCAGTCGACTCTCGCTCGTCTTCATGATAGTCGCTTGGCATGGCCTTCCAGGCATAGGCTAGAGCAAGGCGCGGCCTAGCCAGGGAGTCTAAAGCACTGGTAAAATACAAATCAATCGGAGCCAGATGGCCGTGCTGGACTCCTGTGCATTCCGAAGCAGTCCTCAGGAGTCCCTATTGGACATTGAATTTCCTCACTACCCTGTAGGCTGTCAGGTTGATACTATCAAGACGTGAATTAGAATGGAGGCACTTTTTCCGGGCTACCGAGGCGCCGCGAACAGTCACAAAGACGTTCCCGTGCGTTGATCGATACGCTTGGCAGGGCCTAAGCGCCCGAAATAGCCCCTCATGCATGCCTTTCGGGGAGTATGCACGTACCTGCATCCCAGGATCATTTCTCGCGTCAACATTGGCGAGGAAATCATTGCCGTCATCCGAGAAACAATTTTTCAATTAACTTGGCTTTCCGAAATGTATTGAGAGGGATTTGCATTCAGCAGCTTCCTGTGCAGTCTCATGATAATTTTTCATATTGAGATAGTGGCTGCTGGTACTCGTACGTTTATAGTGTATTCGACAGACAAGCAGTGAATCTGCAAACAAAAACTAGGAGAGTGAACGAAGAATCAGCTGGATGCTGCTGCTGGTAAGTGAAAGTTTGAAATTGTTTCTTTTATCAGTTTAGTGGCGGACAGCTTCGCCCGCAGCCGTTTTTAGGCTTAGGATGATGGCGAGAGTCCCTAGCGACAGGAATGTGATCAATAGGTGCTGTGCGCTGCTTGCTACCGTGACAACATGGTGAACACTGGACGTGACTCGATTTGAATTTTCGAAGTGTTCAGGGGCAATTACACAGTCACGATAAGGAACATTCAGGGACTATTACAGCGTCACTAGTACAGCGTCACTTTGAAATCACCCTATGAAAGCACCCAATGAAATCACCCAATGAAACCACCCAATGAAATCACCCAATGGAACCACCCAATGAAATCACCCAATGGAACCACCCAATGAAATCACCCAATGAAAGCACCCAATGAAAGCACCCAATGAAAGCACCCAATGAAAGCACCCAATGAAATCACCCAATGAAACCACCCAATGAAATCACCCAATGGAACCACCCAATGAAATCACCCAATGGAACCACCCAATGAAATCACCCAATGAAAGCCTCCAATGAATGTACCCAATGAAAGCACCCAATGAAAGCACCCTAGGAAAGCACCCAATGAAAGCATCCTATGAAAGCACCCAATGAAAGTACCCAATGAAATCACCCAATGAAAGCACCCAATGAAAGCACCCAATGAAAGCACCCAATGAAAGCACCCAATGAAATCACCCAATGAAACCACCCAATGAAATCACCCAATGGAACCACCCAATGAAATCACCCAATGGAACCACCCAATGAAATCACCCAATGAAAGCCTCCAATGAATGTACCCAATGAAAGCACCCAATGAAAGCACCCTAGGAAAGCACCCAATGAAAGCATCCTATGAAAGCACCCAATGAAAGTACCCAATGAAAGCACCCAATGAAAGTACCCAATGAAAGCACCCTAGGAAAGCACCCAATGAAAGCCTCCAATGAAAGTACCCATTGAAATCAGCTATTGGAAACACGCATCACAATTGCAATGTTGAACAGCTCACACCCGCGCTAGTGCAGTTGACTAAATGTCTGCTAGTGCTCGCTGAAAACTAGGAGTGAAGGGGGTGAATCACCCGCGGGCTTTCTCGCGAGCATTCAAGCCATCAAGCCACTCGTCAAGCACTCGTTACCAGGGAGCACGAAAAAAAGAAAAACATTTGTTCAGTGCTCCCTGCTTGATAGTACGTTAACAGTGAGGTTTTGCATTCCGATTTTCGGTTCGGTGTTCTTCGGTCATTTGTCGAACATCAAAATGTCGAATTTTCGCACCAACTTTTGTTTTGCAAGTTGAAAATGATGCGTTTTCATTTCGTGAGCCCCAGCATCAGCAACGTCCTGTCCCGTGCTCCCTTTCTTGCTGATTCCAGCAAACTTTGATCGCCCAAAGAGTCGAGGGCCAAACCTGCCTCCTCAGTCGCCTCAGAAAAGCCAACTCCATGGCCAAGCAAAATTGTATGCGTATCGCCATAGTCTTTTCAGCCTCACAGATGACGGTGAGGACACTCCAGGCGATAGAGAGTGGACAGGCAGTGGAGAGGAGCAATCAGAGGTAGCTGGCGATGCTGATGTCGCCCAAGACGCCTGCGGAGCGATGCCGAGATAAGAAACCTCTTTGAATTAATCACGCGCTAGCGCTCTTCTACAAGAAAATTCATCCAAAAAATATTTTCGGCAAAGTGAGCTTTTTCCGAACAAACACGCCGAATCTTCGTGTGCATTTTTAGACCTCGCTCCCGCGTGCCGAATCTTTTTGCCGAATTTCGGAATGCAAAACCTCACTAATGCCCGCATTAATAGTATGATAGCGAGTTTTCGCCATTTTAAATAACATGATGTAAACTATGAATGAAGTATAATATGCAAAAGAGGAAAGTCCAACATGTTTTTTTTACCAACAGTCCATCCACAAATTTAATCAGTGTATGATTCCATTTGAATGAACAAATTGCTTTCTCCTGCTCCTCGCCGTGGCACTTGATTAACAACGAAATCGAGACCCTTGGTGAGAGGAGTTATTTGCCGCCCGCCGCCACTTCCATTTGATATGCCTCAGCCACTGCACTGCAGTACGGGATGGTTGTGTGCTACTTGAATGTATATGTGTCGGATATGAATGTATGGGACAGTGTGGGTATGAATATAACTGTGTATATATGCACGTGTACATCTATCTGATTATTATAATGTGTTTGTGTGGGCATGCAACTCTGCTGAGTGTGTGTGTGTGTGTATGTATGTGTGTGTGTGTGCGTGTGTGTGTGTGTGTGTGTGTGTGTGTGTGTGTGTGTGTGTGTGTGTGTGTGTGTGTGTGTCTAATCTGGATGTACATGTATGCAACTATCTATGTGAACACAACTTAGAACTGCCCGGAACTTAGATCACAAGTGTGCATGTGCGCTGACGGTGTGCACTATTCCAACGTACTCGTAAAACCCTCGGCCGCACAGCGATGGGAGTGCCACTGAAACCGACAGGTAAGAATGGTAGCTGCAGGGCTAGTATCTCATCATGTCTTGTGCTATGCCGGTAATGCGGGTTCACATTGCAAAGACCCAGCACTCGTCACATTGCTAAGAACAAGCACTCGTCACATTGCTAAGAACCAGCACTGGTCGCATTGCTAAGACCCAGCACTCGTTACATTGCTAAGAACCGGCACTCGTCACATTGCTAAGAACCAGCACTGGTCGCATTGCTAAGACCCAGCACTCGTTACATTGCTCAGACCCAGCACTCGTCTGCACACTACCAAATGGAGACTGCTAGAATGTGTGGTACACTCTAGCACGAAAACCAAGAGGTTGGATGTCAGTTGCCACCATTGCACACATCACATCAGGGGATTTGCAGTGCACATAGTGCTATTCCCGATTCCCGTGTGTCTTTCACGCCCCACGTTGCGTGTTGACGAGGCAAAAGAATGTTGTACATCGTGCTATTCCCGATTCCCGTATGTCTTTCACGCCCCATGTTGCGTGTTGACGAGGCGAAAGAATGTTGTACATAGTGCCATTCTCGATTCCCGTGTGTCTTTCACGCCCCATGTTGCGTGTTGACGAGGCGAAAGAATGTTGTACATAGTGCCATTCTCGATTCCCGTGTGTCTTTCACGCCCCACGTTGCGTGTTGATGAGGCGAAAGAATGTTGTACATAGTGCTATTCCCGATTCCTGTGTGTCTTTCACGCCCAACGTTGCGTGTTGACGAGGCGAAAGAATGTTGTACATAGTGCTATTCCCGATTCCTGTGTGTCTTTCACGCCCCACGTTGCGTGTTGACGAGGCGAAAGAATGTTGTTTATAGTGCCATTCTCGATTCCCGTGCGTCTTTCGTTTCCCACGTTGCGTGTTGGCGAGGCAAAAGAGTGTTGCCTCGAATCCGACACTGACCTTATTAAACATGCCAGCATTTCACACTGGGTTGTTTGCAAGGGTGGTGATGGGAATCATGCCAATTCATGTGCTGTTCCTGTTTCAGTTCCTTGAACACATGGTCAATTGAATCTGGTGTCGCTGCGCACTTTCCAGCTCACTAGCATTAAAATTTGGCAAAGTGAAAATTGAGATGTTTCAAATTCAGCAGAAAATAATTGTTTTTGTCTTGATCGTATGTGTGTGTATGTGTATGTGTATGTGTGTGTGTGTGTGTGTGTGTGTGTGTGTGTGTGTGTGTGTGTGTTTGTGTGTGTGTGTGTGTGTGTGTATGTGTGTGTGTGTGCATATGTGTGTGTGTGTGTGCCAGCTAGTTCGGTTGGTGGGTACACTTATGCCTTATTGTGTTGGGTCTGTTGCCAACAGGCTCGGCTGCTTGAAGGTGTATTGTTGTATCTGCCACCTTTGTTGGTTTCAGGGTTCGTGTACTTACTGTTTGAAGTACACATACCTGTTAACCATGGACTGCTTCTGGCTAGATTAACTCTTGTGTAATCAATGATGCTAGTGACGCTTAGATCAGATCCACTCTGATTTAGCCACCCACAATAGTAGCAAGTATTACCTTCACTGGGGGCAGGGGTAACTGCAGTTGGATCCCAGGACGGATACCCTGATGCCGTCAATCCTTTTCCTGCACCTTGTCCTCACCCACTTACTGAGGTGTGGTGAGCCCGTAAGTGGGATCATTTTCAAGTCCACCCAGAGTTTTGGGGATTTCAGGGGGTGTCGGCCGTTGGGCGGTTCAATAGCCAGTTGAGTCATCTTTCCAAGATTCCTTTTGAGTCTCTCTCCCCTCTCCCGGGGAGACCCACGTGACCTGTTTTGGCAGTGAGCAACAAGTACAAGTACAAGTGTGTGTGTGTGTGTGTGTGTGTGTGTGTGTGTGTGTGTGTGTGTGTGTGTGTGTGTGTGTGTATGCATGTGTGGGTGTATTTTTGTTTTTTGCAGATATGTTGGTGTGGTTTGTGGTACTGACAACAGCGATACTCTCAACACCGTGTTTAGGTATGTTAGCAGCTGGCTTTAAGTGTTGTGTTTGGTGCTGTGAAAGTTCTCCGACGTGGATTTTCCAAGTACTTTGCAAATAGATGTCCATTCTTTGCAGGCAGAAAACTACAATATTTTTGTTGTTCGTCTCCATCATAATTTAGGGACCTTAAATTTCGAAACAAGCTATTGGGCATTCCCTTGAAGTGGATTAGTTTCCTGTCTCCGAGACAATGGTTTTCTACTGTGGAGACTGCGTGTGGTGTGACATGTCAGAGTGACCTTGGTGCTCACCTGTGTGCAGTGCATGGCAGGGTGTTTGGGCCACGGGCTTGTCGTCTCTATGGTTTGACAATCCCGTTCTGTTCTGGTGCTGCTTGTGGCCAAAGCGGGTCGTGGTACCAGTTTCTCCGCGGTATACGCCACACTTTGAGCACTCATAATGTACGCATAAAAGGGCACGTGGCTTATTCCCGGATCATCAAGTTTATCTTGATAAACAGGGTAGTCTCTTGTGTAAACAGGGTAGTCTATCGCCACGATTGAGTTTGTAATATTTGTTTCACACACAACAGAGGCTAAATACACACAACAGAGGCTAATGACTGTGGAGCTGTACATGGAAGTTTCACGCATTTCAGCGATCATCAAACTGCAGCATTCACCCCTCCGACAAACAGGGCAGTCCATCGTCACGAGTTTGTAATAACGTAGAATCACGCGGATGAGCCCATGGCCTTATCTGTTTCAAGGACATTTCGGTGGGCTTATACAATGACATGGGCCTATTCTCGTGCATGGGCTTATACGCTCACACCAACATTGTGCTATTGAAAAGTGCCAATGAAGTGAGAAGTACATTGCTGAAAGCCACTGTGCAAACAAAAACAACCGATGATTGTGTTGAAATGTAGAAAAGATCACAAAACAAAAACCCTACATGGACTATGCACTGGTATATGTACATGGCATGACCAAGAGTCCATAATTTATGGACTCTTGGTACAATTTAGGCCCATGGGCTTGTACGACGAAGCCTTGTGATGTTCGAACTTTCCCTGCGCTTATGCGCGAGCATGGGCTCAGTATCTGCTCTAGGATTGTAGGACAGCCGGGTACACGTGTACCTGGCGTAACCATTTCAACCGGATCGGAGCCGGGTACACATGTACCTGGCGCTGTCTCACCAGCCGAGTCTCATGCTTTAACTGGTTGGTTGGTTAATTTTAACCCTTTCAGCACGGCCAGGGTGTGTAACTGACCCGCGGAGCCAAAACCAGTAATTTTCGTGATTTTCCAAAAGTAGTCCTATTCACTCACAATTTTTTCTGCAGAATGCATGTTCGCACGCGACATCTATGTATTAGTACGCGTGCATAGCGGCACACGTGCGCCCGTCAGTACTATCGTAGAACTGTCGGCGTTCATCCAGCACGTCACTGGTCCACGTAGGGATAAGATCCGTCGACCACGGATGTCTCGGGAGTACGTTCATTTTCACTGTACGCATCACGTATATATACGTGATCCGTGGGCCAGTTACATGTACCATCACGTACATATACGTGATGCGTGCTGAAAGGGTTAATTCGGACTATAAACAGGGACTAGGAAGTATCTGACACATACAAGCCATGTAGTCAGTCCTTTCAAAGTTCGAAAGTGCAAAGTACCAACCGGGTCACAGGTGACCCGGTACTATATTTTCAACCGGGTCCAAGCGCCGCCCAACCGGGTGGATTACCCGGCTCACCCGGCGCTGGAGCAGACACTGGGGCTTATATGCCGGATTCTACGGTAGTTGTGTCATTGTCTCTATGCTTCCTAGTTTCCTAGTTTTGTAATGGTCTTGTGCAGTCAACTTGGCTAATAACGACTGCTGCGGATATAACGACAATTCGCGAATAGCGACAGAATTCCCATGCCCAGAGCAAAGTCTCATCTACCTGTTATACACACTATAATGAGACTTCGGGTATAAGGACACTGTAGTCGTCGGGTTCGCTGATGTGGGGTAGTGCCTTTGCTGTTTTCACCACACAGAGCATGCTGACTTGTCAGTTTGAGCACACTGCGAAGCGCGGGAAAAGTGCGTCCATGGAGCTATATGAAGCCGAGACCTCTGGTCGGCTGAGTATAATGGGCCCAACCACCACACTCCATTATTCACTCCAGTGTCTGGTGATAATGTGGGTTTTGAAGGGAAAAAATTAAAACCACCCCCTGAGACTGTTCACCAACGCACACCGGCTTCTTGGATAAGTACTATAGTTGAAGTACATCATTGTTGGAACTAACATGAACAAACAAATCAAACTACCATGAGTTGAGACCAGGTTAAACAAAAGCAAAAAGTTAGCGAAGAAAAGGAGTCACTGGCTCGCTGCACATGCTCTGGACTCAGAGCTGCACAACTTCGCACTTGATGTGTGCAACCAGACGTCAGCATGCCGTCCACATGAACAAATGAGAGAGCTTGAAAGCTCAGGGCCCTACGCTATTCATTTTTGCCTAGCTCATCATGAATGTTATTGGCAGCCATCAGATGAAAATGGCTCACTGTTTCCATCTCCATTATCCCGCGACGCCTGCTTGTTTTCGTGAAAATGAAACGAGAGCTTCCACGTCTGAGCCTGTTGCCGAGATCCTAGATAGCTTGTAAAGGGGGAAACCCCAGGTCTTGAGCGTGTGACTCACGCGTAGAACTACACAGTGCCGTGACGTATGTTGCAGGCTTCGTATCTCGGAGCACAACATTGTGCTGTGTTCGCCCTTGCTAAGTGGAATTCCTTGGAGTTTTCTCTTCGATTTGCATGCTTGGATTGTCCTGAATAACGAATATTAATTGACAAATAATGTGAAGGTTTGAAGCTTGGTTGTCCAGGCGGACAAGTCCGTAAACTCGCCAACTTTCAATTGCTTTTGCACTCTCTCTCTATCTTTCTCTCACTCTCTCTCTCTCTCTCTCTCTCTCTCTCTCTCCCTCAGTCTAGCTTCATCGTGCACACTAACATCTGTGTGTCTCTCTGTTTGTCATTTCATCACACTGCAATGCCGTCCCAGACCAATATTGTCCATGCACTGAGCGCGCGCTGATAACGTAGATTGATAGAGTTTTACATTACAACAACCTTTTCGGAGACACATACTAATCCCAAAAACAAATGCTTTACTCTTCACATGCATCATCAATCCGGGCTCAATATTTTGTTTTAGAGTAAACTGGAAAACTCGTTCGTGAAAAAAAAAAACATGGAGTCCTGATTATGGTGGTGAACGGTATAAAGTCTGAACTTTATCTTGCAGTCTAACATTTGGTTGTTCATGTTTCTGTTTCATGTTGGGTGTGTACCGTGTGTGTACCGTGTGTGTACCGTGTGTGTACCATGCTTTGGTTCAGGAGCTGAACTAGTTTATCTAGACCCGAAGATCACCGTCTACTTTGGAGACCAGCAGCCGACAGCAGAGCTGATGAAACGACCATTCCCTTACCTGCCTCACTGCTCCACGTATCACTACGACAGGCCTCCTAACAACACTGGCATTAGAAAGATCAGCAGTACATCCAGCATCCTACTACCGACCATACGGAAAGAAGGAGATTGCCTGGGCGAGTACTGCATAGCCTACTTGGACACCACCTTAAAGCAGACACTTACAACGGGAGATTCGGGACTCTACGAATGTACCGTGGGCACTAAGAAGTCTGCACAGCAGTACAACCTTAAAGTCATTAGTAAGTCAGGCTGTGAAATTTGCCGATCGCTACTTGAGTATGCCGAGAGGACAGTTTGTATGTACATTGCTTATAGGGCTTTGGGTAAAGGAAAAGAATGTTACGAGTTTTGACTAACAGTCACCCAATGTAAACAGATCATTCACCGTCATCCGAGTTTAGTCTAAGAGCTTATGGACACCCCCCCCCCCCCTCCCCCGGATTCTAAATTTATCGCCTAGTTGTAATGGCTACCATCTACCCTTGTCATGCTACTTATCCTTACGTTTCATTGGTTCTGGTAGCTTGTACTTGTAATTCATTCCTGAATACCATAGAACCATCAGATGCTGCACAGTGGGGGTGCTGGCATATTAGATGGACAGAACCATCAGATGCTGAAACGCTGGGCGGGGGGGGGGGGGGGGGGGGCATAGATGGACAGAACCATCAGATGCTGAAACGCTGGGCGTGGGCGGGGGGGCATATTAGATGGACAGAACCATCAGATGCTGAAACGGGGGGGGGGGGGGCATATTAGATTCACAGAACTATCAGATGCTGAAACACGCGGGGGAGGGGGGGGGGGGGTGGGGGTGGCATATTAGATGGACAGAACTATCAGATGCTGAAACGGAGGGGGGGGGGGGGGGTGGCATATTAGATGGACAGAACCGTCCTATGCTGAGACACGCGGGGGGGGGGGGGGGGTGCATATTAGATGGACAGAACCATCAGATGATGCACAGTGGGGGCGGTAGGGGCAGTGTCGTATTGATGGATTTAGGGCTGGCGCTGAAGTACCCCAGCCCCAGAGGCGGAGATTCTCCAATTTTGTCTGAATTTATCACATCGTGTGTATGTATGTCTGTGTGTTTATGGGTGTGCATGTGTGCGTATTTGTGTTAGTGTGAGTGTATTTGTGTGTGTGTGTGTGTGTGTGTGTGTGTGTACTTGTGTGTGTGTATTTGTGTGTGTATTTGTGTGTATGTGGCTGCATGTCTGCGTGTGCATGCTTGTGTGTGTATACACGCCTATTGTGTTTGTTGAACATACCCACATACCCACAGTCCCTCAGCAGCTGGCCACTACTGTTATTCCGACCCTGGCACGTGTGTTCACTGGTCAGACGCAGAATGTTTCGTTTGAAACTATCGGATCGGTCGACATGGATGTGTCGTGCCTCGCTACCATGACGTTGCCCTCATCTCGCTCTACTATCACAAATTCAGCACAAAGCGGAGACACCAGGCTTGCCACCACTACCTTCTTCTTCAAGAGCCCCGCACAGTCCGGAAGGCAGTCCCTCCAGTTCAGTGTTACATGTACGACCACGTACAAGAATGTTGACTGCGATGGACCGACATCTGAGTACTATGTCCGACCAATGGCTTCTGTTGGACGTTGTAAAACATCAGCCAAACCCCTTGTGACCTCTCTCTCAGTAACGATAAATGGTAAGCGTTAGACTGTGCCAGGTTTAAACATTTTGAAAGCACAGTAAAACCTGTCAAGGCGACCACTCGGATAAGGCGACCACCTGTCCCAGGCGCCCCACTGCAGCCAGGACCAAGAGATGCTAATTCCAGTCAAATGACCCTGGATAAGGAGACCACCTGGTAACAGAGACACACTCTTAAGGTCCTTTGAGCAGCGGTCGTCTTACACAGGGTTCACTCTACTTGAAAGTGTGATCTCTTCTTTTGACTAGAAACTACTATTTGCTCCTACCTAGGAAAAGAATTACTGTAATCACATATCAAAGTGTAAGCCTGACCATTCGGCTGCTCGATAATTCAACTTTCTCTCCTCTTTTTCTCCATGCGCGCCTGGCCAACTCTTTGCTACCCTCAGTAGCCGTTACACACACACACACACACACACACACACACACACACACACACACACACACACACACACACACACACACACACACACTACTATCAATCAGCTACCCCTTGGGGTCACGCCGGCCTCCACTCAGAGAACTGAGCGCAAGGTGAGGGGCAGTGGCGTAAACAAAACAGAAAGTACAGCAAAATGAATTGAAAAAAAGGAAATCAAAACAAGCTGCCATATTGATACACACACACACACACACACACACACACACACACACACACACACACACACACACACACACACACACACACTACTATCAATCAGCTACCCCTTGGGGTCACGCCGGCCTCCACTCAGAGAACTGAGCGCAAGGTGAGGGGCAGTGGCGTAAACAAAACAGAAAGTACAGCAAAATGAATTGAAAAAAAGGAAATCAAAACAAGCTGCCATATTGATGGAAAGGGACTCACTAACAGAGGAAGGAAATATCACAAACCAGATGAACAGTCTGCTGTAGGTCCACTATAAGTATAACATGCAACGACTGAAAAAGGAACAAAATTAATGTGAACATGATGTTTTGTTCAACAATAACGTCTGTACGCGTACTGCTTCGGCCTTCATGCACCAGGAAAGCACGATCTTGAGCTGGACGGTGGGCACCGAACGTCCCACAAGGGCTCCACAAGACGTACTTTCACGAAACGACGAGGAGTATGCGCAGCAAGCTAACATCACTACACCATCGCCGCACGACGACTCGCCACTCAGGTCCAAACAACACGACAAATTCACAATTCCAGCTATCACCGCGCAGGAATAAATTGTTGCGAGTGTGACCTGTATCCTTTATCATCTAGGAATCCACTTGTTTTGCCGAACGCCACTGCATTGTTACAGGCTGGGGATTGATCCGAGGGCTCGCCACGCCACTGTCAAGCAGGTGCAGGTTTGAGTTTTTTGAGCTCCGTAGGTTTTCGTCGTTTTTTCGCAGCCCACCCGGCATCAGGCCGGAGTGGAGCCCTTAGCCTTAGGAGTCGTAGTGTAGAATCGTAGCTTAGTGTAGAGTAGGTGATATTTTGAGTAGCTGTCACACCCTGACCTACTCTCCGCCATGGACGAGCTGGCAGGTGAACCCCTGAGACTTCTGTGCAGTCTCCCAGGCATCGAAGCCAATGTCATCAGCTTGATCCAGCAATTGTCGTCGTATGTTAGTGAGTCTAGAGATAGAGAGGAGCGCGTGAAACGGCGTGTGGATGAGCTATGTGCACACGTTTTGGAGTTACGAGGCGAACTGAGCTCCTTGAGGCAGTCCGCCATTGCCCATGTCGACCAACAGCAACAAAAAGGCGAGGAGGTCAAGGAGAGTGCAGCTAGTAGTACGAATAGTACCCGTACGATAACTGGAAAGTCTAAGCCGCGCGCAAATAGTGAAAAAAAGTCAAAGCAGCAGGCAGAACACGTGGGAACGCACACTGAACCCCGTACCCGTAGCACTGCCACACCCTGGCACGCAGGCAAGACGGTGCCCTCAGTGGACACGGAAACGGAGTACAATGTCATGTACTCTGACGCAGAGGGTACTGAACCCCTGCCAGTCAAGAACTCCAAGCCTGTGTTCAGCACCATCACGGACGACTCTTGGAAGTTGGTCTGTGCAGGACCACCCAAGACCAAGCGCTCTGTTGCCTATGTGGGCAACATCTCCCCAGATTGCACAGAGGACCGCCTGAAACAGTTCATCATGGACAGAAGCGAACAGGCAATGTCAGGCTCTTCCATTCCCGTGCATACCTGCAGTGTACATGTAGGAGAGAGTGGACGAGTATCAGCCAGAGTCACTGTAGATGCCACCTCCATGCCTATTGTGACCGCCCCCAACTTCTGGCCAAGGCCTTTGTACTGCCGACCGTGGCGCTTCTCCAAAACCTCTGGCGGAAACCGCAGCAGCAACAGCGAAAACAGCAGCAGCAGCAGCAACGACAACAGCAGCAGCGACAACAGCAGCAGTAGCAGCGACAACAGCAGCAACAGCAGCAGCAGCGACAACAGCAGCAGCAACAGCAGCAGCACCGCAGAATCTTCCGCACCACAGGCAAACACCACTGGCAACGCAAGCAGTGCAGATGAAAGGGACAGTGAGGATGGAAGCTCTGCCGATGCAGGTACCTCGAGTCGAACTCCAGGGATGAAGGCTCGCTCCCACCAGCGAGATTCACCACCTGCAGACCAAGCAGCCAAGTACTCTGTCTCAGTTGGCAATGCGTTTGCACCCCTAAGCCGGTAATGACCAACAAAACCCTGAAACTGTTCGTAACAAATGCCTTTGGGCTAATGAGTAAGTTAGATGAATTCCGCCATGTGCTCCATGCTGAATCCCCAGATGTTGCCATTGTAACAGAGTCTAAGCTGTCAGAGGCTGTGACTCAAGCAGAGTTGACACTCCCTGGCTACTACCAGCCTCTGAGACGCGACCGAAACCGCCATGGTGGCGGGGTGGCAGTTTGGGTGAAGACCACGCTAGCCATGAATGAACTGGATACCATTGATGTCTTCGGCCAGGAGCTAGTATGGCTAAACGTCAAACTGTCAAATGGCCGGCCTGTGGCTATATGTGCTGCATACCGTCCTGGAACGTGCTCAGACACAGACACCAGCATCTTCGACGTGATCTGCAGGGGCCTCACCTCCACAGCCTGCCGCAACTCTGCTGTGATAGTTGCTGGAGACTTCAATGTACATAACCAAGAGTGGCTCCACAGTAGCAGAACAACTAGAGCCGGCGAGCATGCAGAGGACATGTGCTACATGCACGGTCTTGAGCAGCTAGTCGACCAACCAACTCGTGGCCGCAACACACTGGACCTGATTATGTCCGACCTACCCGTAGAATCATTGGCTACTGTCTTGCCACCTCTTGGCAAATCTGACCATGCCTGTATACTTGCTGACTTCCAGATCCGTGCATCACGCGAGCCTCCCATATCAAGAACAGTATGGAGGTATCAGCATGCTGATTGGGCCAGGCTCCGTCACTTCTTCAGAACCACCAATTGGGCAGCTATTGCTCGGACTGATCCAGACCTGTCATGCACTGGCATCTCAGAGAGGATCCTGGAGGGTATGAAGAGATTCATCCCCTCTAAAATTCTGAAAACCCGAGCATCAGATCCTCCATGGTGGACCCCTGAGTGCACTGCTGCCACAGTGAGGAAACGACGTGCATGGAGGTGCCTGAGAGACGACCAGTCTGACCACGATCGGCAGTCAGCCTACCAAGATGCACGGCTCTCAACGATTGCCTGTCTCAAAACTGCCAAGAGTGCTTTCATGGCGAAACTGAGACAGAAAATGACCTCAAAGCAGCTGCCACCCAGTGACTGGTGGCGCACCGTCAAGCGTGCCTCTGGCAATGGGCGTAGTCAATCTGTTCCTACATTACGTGATCCCGATGGACGAGAGTACACAGCCAGCGCAGACAAAGCAGAATGCATGGCCCGCTATTTTGCAAGCAAATGCAGTCTCGCACAAGATGACCTGTCCGCCCCATTCCCATATGTCAGACCTCGAACTGACCAGGCTCTTTCGGACGTCCGTTTCCGCGTCGCTGCTGTTGAACGCACCCTTCGCCAGCTCAACCCATCAAAGGCAACCGGGCCGGATAGGATACCGGCACGAGTGTTGAAAGCCTGCTCTGCTGAACTGGTGCAACCGCTTTCCATACTGTTTACCCAATGCTTCCAAACTGGGATACAGCCCAAGACATGGAAGATTGCCAACATAGTCCCCATATTCAAACGGAAATCAAAGTCTCTACCCTCCAATTACCGTCCAGTTTCGCTCTTGTGTATTCTGTCCAAGGTGATGGAGACAATCATCAACAGAACAATCACAAATTTCCTCGAGTCGAACAATGTCTTCTCCACCAGACAGTTTGGATTTCGCCATAGTCATAGTGCAGCCGACCTCCTTACCAGCCCCCACCACCAGTGGCTGCATACAGCCGGGGAGAAAGGCGCAGCACGCATACTCGCCATTGACATCGCCGGTGCGTTTGATCGCGTATCACACCCCGGTGTGCTACACAAGTCCGACGTATACGGCCTGCGTGGGCAACTGCACCAGTGGCTCAGCAGCTACCTCAGTGAACGCTACCTTCAAGTGGTCATTTGTGGCCAGACATCCTCAAGGCTCCCAATTCAGGCTGGAGTCCCCCAGGGCAGTATTCTGGGTCCGACCCTCTTCCTCATGTACGTGAACGACTGCGAGGACCACGTACCAGCCGGTGCTGACCTAGCCTCGTTCGCAGACGACACTACGCTGTATGCCAACATCACCCCCACCACCCAAGAAGATACCACCCAAGCCCCCCAGCTAGCAGTCAACAACATCTCCCGCTGGGGTCAAGAATGGAAAATAAAATTTGAACCAGCCAAATCCCAGGCACTGACCGTCAGTTTCCACCGCACCCAATGGGACATGCCACCGATTGACTTCAACGGATCAAATGTGACGGAACAGGAGGAGCTCAAAATCTTGGGCATCAGTTTCGATGGTCAGCTTACCTTCCGGCGCCACCTTCGTACCGTAGCCCTCCGGGCAACACAGCGACTTG